TGTTAATAATAATAAGAGTGTATATGACAGATGCTTGCCATTCTTATGGACTGGCCGGAGACCTGCAAATGGGGGCATGACATGCCTGTCATGAGTATGACAGGCATCCTCAAACTATGGCCTGGGGACACATGCAGCCTGTCTAGGACATTTATCCGGCCTGCCGGGTGTTTTTGCTGCCACTGCCTGTCCTGCTTAGCAGCCAACTCATCCGGGGGCCTGCAGTATGGCCCTCCAATGTCTGAGGGGCAGTGAACTGGCCCCCTGTTTAAAAAGTTTGAAGACCCCTGCTGTACGATATTAACTCTAAGGCAACAGAATTGCCTGGGAAGTTTTTAAAAATTCTAATCTCAGGTGACACCTCTCTGGGGATTGGCAGGGGGGTTTAGTATCTTTTAATCTGCCCCTCCCCAACCAAGTAATTCCAATGTGCAGGCAAGTCTGAGTGACTGCCATAGGTGTATTGCTTAGAAAAAGCCACATTCATTACTCATGCAAAGTGCAAGAGGGAGGCCTCCAAATCCCAAGTCTGGTCACTAAGGGGGTGCCAAGAGTCAAAACTGAGGGGCCTGGCTGATAGCAGGATGTCACCACCAGGGGACAGAACCAGAGACGTAAGGTGCACCAATGAAGCTGGCTTGGAGCTAGCCAGCAGGCATCCTTAAAAAAAATCAGTTTTTATGGCACGACACCAAATCTACTTCACAATCGTCATTTCTTATTTTCATTTCTATTTTTTTCAGAAACAGGTAAGGACTACGGCTCAGAGAAATCAACATAACTGAATGAGCTAAATTTCGCTAATTCATCTTTTAACTCCAAGATATCAAATTTGTATACAGAATAAAACCCAAACACCCAGGTACTTAAAAATCAGCGAAGTGATATGCTGCATTAAAGAGAGCGCCCTGTGAGACGGAACACTAGGCAGTAATACAGTTTATTTGCAAGTCATCTTCACAACACTAAGCATCTTCCAAGTAATTAGAATTTGGGGTTGGAGATAATTGAGTATAGAAAACATTGAGAGAGGAGCCAGTCTCAATGCTATCCTAATCTTTTTGCAAAAAAAGAAAAATCTTATCTCTTAATTACACCACAATGACTCAAAATCTTAAGAGAAAAAATTTTCAACTGTTAAAACATTCAGAATTTTAAAATCTCTCTCAAGGGAAAAAATGTAAAAGCAAGAGTTTCTGAGACCTTTTTATATTTTAATATCCTTTGCAACTTCAAACATAAAAAACAATGCTGTGAAATAAAGACCAATTCAGGAGTGTAATGAAGTTTAAAGTAGCTCCTTTTTGTGTACCAGGAACAACTTTACTGACTTAAATTAGAAACTTCTAGTTGGGGGCAGGAGAAAAAGGAAGTAGAAGAGAGAAAAGCAGGCAATCCACGGCCTTGTGCTGATTCTTCCTGCCCTCTAACAGAGGGAGAAGATTGAGGATTTGGGGGGCCAAAACAAAAGTAATAAAGTGCAAAATGAATTTTTAAAATTCCCACACAACACTGAATTTATTTTAGAGAGAGTAATGTTACAAAAGGAAGTTCTATGTCAAACGATTTCCACTTTTTCTCTGAACTGAAAAAAAAAAAGGTTCAGTTTACAGCTTCAAAATATTTAAATGATCCCTATTTCACATCAGAGTTCTAGTTAAAAATTACTCTATTTTTTTGCTCCTGGCAAGTTCTATTGATAATGTCCCCTAAAAGATAAAGGGGCTTCCTAAAATTCAGCTTCTGGTAGGGAACCATGTAACAGGGGGTGGTGGGATGTGCTGTTAGGAATGGATGGTCACCCCTTTGGAGAGTCTAACAGACAATCTGTTCTATCCATTAGACGAGGGGTTCTCAAGTACGATCTCGGGTCAGTACCACCTGAGATATGACAAGAAGTGCCGATTCTGGAGTCCCGCCATTGGCCAAAAGAATCAGAAACCTCTGTGCTGTGGCCCAGCAATCTACAGATATTCTGGGAGATTTAGATGCCTGCTAGTTTTGAGAACAACTGTGTTAGAACACCTCATTTCCTGAAGATGTCACAATCAATGTGTCATTGTGTTAAGAAATTAATTACACAGGACTGAACGGAGCTAACCTGCCTTTCCTCCTTAGAGACAGAACAATAAAGCTGATGTCTGTGTAGCAAAACATGCAGCTACAATTCAGGAAACACCTAATTATCTGTGATTTAATGTACAAAAAAAGGCTTTCAGCAATCTGTAATTACTCCCCTCCCCCCAATTTAGTTTTAAAGAAGTATTGTTAAGTGACTCTCCCATAAGTATAAGAAAAGTTTGGGTAATACCAGCACCTACCACTACTAATGAAGAGACCAAGATTCCACTGTTAAAATCCTCCCCCTTTTCTCAGGACTGCGGTCTGATCAAACCAGTGTGTACAGTTCTCCGACTACAAAATGAGGCCCACCATTTTCACAGACAAGGTGGAAATGAAAACAACAATAAGAAAAGCACTTTCCACATTTTTTCATGATCTTTTTTATTTAACATATATAGTACATGTAAACAACTGGCATAAAATTCATAAAAATACAATACTCCTATGAAATATTACTTTATTCCTGATAGATCATTTTCTCCTTGATATCACTGGCATATTTTAATACTACACCTTTCTGTCAAGCATTTTTAGAGGCTTATCTTTTTATAGAAATACTCCCCAACTTGTGTTCTTTTAAAATGTCATAGCAATACCTATCTCTATCACCTCCTTGGCCACCCTTGCTTTCCTCACACTAAAGCAAAAATACTCTGAATGCTAAAAATATGTAAAATACTGAGCTTTAACACTGTTCTGTCCCGTATATGGAACCTATTTCTACTCTAGGTTGCCATGAGAGACATTTATGCTCTACAGCACTGGCTGGGCTGCTACTACCAGATGTGATCAAGGCTGAGTGTGCCGGATACCCTCAAGGCCTCTGTTCTAAACTGACTCGCTTAAAATATGACCATAGCTTGCAGGTGGAGTTACATTAATAAATACTGTTATAAAACAATTCTTCTGGAAAGAGCTAATTTAGACAACTTTTAATGTTTCCCAGTGTATGAAACAGTTTTAAGAGAATTTTAATGTTTTTTCCTACACAGACTCTCCAATCATTACATGAGAACTTATTTAAAAGGGAATTGGAGGATGAGAAAAATAGAGAATAACTTTAAAATTATGGTTTTAAAAAACCGTCACTGTTGGATGTACAAAATCAGTCACACTTGAGTGAGGAGCACTCGCAGATAGGGCAGAGCGCACCTCCCCTTTTCCAGCCCACATCCACTCTCAGCTCCTCAGCCTCAAGGGCCCTCTTCCCATTTTTCTGGATTAGCGCATCACTGCTTAAATGTTACTTCTAATCCACAAATCCCCAGCTGGTCCCCTGTTTTCTAAAACTCAGAAGTCTAAGAAATGAAACAGTCAACCACCAAATGAGAAAGAGTGACCACAAATGTGAACACTACCAGACTCAGTCTCCTGGGCTGCCTCCAGAGGAGGAGACTCCCTGGGGGACGCAGGGTGGGGGTGACGCTCCTCACCGAGGGCACAGTCAGGGCACAGTCCTCAGCTGGACGTGCTGTCTGTGCAGCTGACTAACACGAGCAAGCTCGTGCTTCCCCCCGACTAGGCATGTCCTTTGGCTCTGGTAAGAAGGCAGAAAGAAAACAGCTCTTCAGTGGCTCCCGGGAGTGGGCACTGGAAACAATCCCTGAGGACTCAGGTCTCAAGGACAATCCACAATGAGGTTAATCTGCCTGTGGTTAATAAAGAGAACACTGTATAATTAAATGTGTAGTTAGCCACAGTCACGGTTTCCTTAGAATTTAAAACCTTACAAACATAAACATTTTTTAGAACTATGAGGATTCACCCTTTTGAAGATATCTCATTTCACACAAATTAACTTCTAAAAAACAAAGATTCACACAAGAAATTCAAAGTAGATTTGAACATTTTTCAAAATAAAAATAAATAGAAAGGAAAAATAAAGCAGACTGAATATAGTTTTTAGAACTAATAATAATTTTTAGAACCAAAATCATAACGTAAGGCTTAAGGCTTTGTCTTATTGCAGTCAGGCAATCTTAAAGGTAAAATATAAAAGCTCCATTTATTTTTCATTATTCATTTGCTTTTCTGACAGAAGAATTAGTTATGGTTTATTGTATCTTAATAGTAAAAGAAAAACTGCCAGATACTACAGTCTATTGTTCCACTATAAATTACGTCTACTCAAATATACATTAGTTTCTAGATGCATTATATTTGGGATTGTTCAAAATAGTTTTCTTAAAACTACAATTAAACATGAAAAAATTTTAAGTAGTTTTAAAGGTATTAAAATATAAACATCTGAATAATGCTAAAAATGAGAAAATACACAGTTACCATTAAATTTGTTTTAAGCCAAGAATACTTGGTAAGCAACTAAATGAGTAAACAACATTTATTTGACAAAAAAAAAAAAAAGTGGGGAAAGGAGAGGTATGAGGGAAAGAAAGAGACATTATCATGCCACATGGGTGGACAGTAATGGCCCTTAACCAATAGGGGCCAGGAAAGTCCTCATTGACAAGCGCAATGGAGAACAAAAAGAATGTAAGGAAGTCAAATAAACGGGGATTCCATACAGCAAACACCATGTCTGCCCCATCTCCTGTAACTCAAGTTGATGACAGAGGCTGACATGACTGAAGAGCTTCATTACAATTATTATTATAAAACAATCACTGAAATGTCCAAAAGACAAGAGCAAGAGCCAGAAAGAAGAACCAAGGGGCATTAATAGTCTACTAACTACAAAATCAGCCCCTACAAAGTTCAGAATTGACCTACATTTTCATATCATCCTGGTCATGACTCAACATTTTTCTTATACAGGTAGCTTTGCCCACTTTAGCACAAATATTTAAGTTAAGTACAAGCATATACTCATTTGCATAGCAAATTTTAAAGGGTACACTGAAACAGTAACTAAATGATGAAAGTGTAAGTCATTTTTACAATTAGAATAACATTCAAATTGACCAAATAAGACGTTTTCTATTTGAAAACAGTTCCTACAAAAGTTTTTGGGGATTTGAATTAAAAACAACACATGACTTATTAGCAAAACATTTAAACAATTACTGATGTGGTTCTCTGTAGGCAGCAGTTCACATAGCAGTCATTCTTTCACAACTTCTAGGACTTTGTAAACACTGTTCTGGAATACAGTGGTGAAGTGAGGCTTGGACTCCTTCACCAAGAGGTTACATAAGGGAGTTTTCCCAGCATTGGCAGGGTCTTCCACATCCCAAATTTCAGGCATACTGCAACCAGGCCTAGAAAAATAAATGTCCACATTAACAAGTCAAGGCAAATGACGTAACTGCAGATAAAGCAGAGCACTTTTTGAAGCCAGAGGTTCCTGGCCTCATTTCTCTTTTTCTGTGGAAATTAACTTAGTTTAACAAAACAACCTGACTCCACTGTAGGACAAGGTGGGTGCAGCAAAGGTGACCACAAAGACGGAAACAGACCTGCAGGATCCGTGCACTCAGGTGTTGGGCTACAGGGTCTGGGGTACATGCTGCTTCAGTAACTTACCAAGAACACGGTGTTGGGAGGTAGCTTCACTCAGTCTCACATGTGTGAGGTGGGGAAATAAATACCCATGACGTAGGTCTGTTGTGAGGACTAAGAGAGATCAGGTATCTACACTATGCTCAGCACCCAGATAAAGGTCTAATACTCATCTTTAAAATGACAATTAGCAAATATGCTTAGTTCACAGGAGAGCTGCATTAATCAAACAGATGCTCTGACTTACAATGGGGGCTAAGTCTCAATGAAGCCACTGCAAACTGAAAATGCATTTATTACGTCTCACTTGGTAAACATCCTCGCTTAGCCTCTCTTACTTTAAATATGCCAGGAATGCTTACATTAGTCTACAGTTAGACAAAATCATCCAATACAAAGCCTATCATATGCAAAATGTTAAATAGCTCATGTAATTTACTGCACACTGCACTGAAAACCAGAATGGGACTTAAAATACAGTTTCTACTGAATGCATTTTTGCATTCACAGCACTGCAAAGTCAAAAAATCATTAAGTTGAAACCTTGTAAGTTGGACTACCAACATCCTAGAGTGAGTCAATTCAAAGAAAACCTGAGAGTGTAAAGTGTACATGTTAGCCAAATGCATAATTAAATCTTAAAAGCAACACAGTTTTTTAGAAATGGAATAAATGAAATTGGTATCATGTGGTATTTGCCTAAATAAGGCCTTTAAAATAACTAACATTTTAAATCAAGAACAGTTTTATAGATAGAACTGTTAGATTTTTACTAGAGTTCACACTTTCTTGTCTTTTAAGAAATTTCTTAAAAAACAGAAAAACATATGGAAAAATTAGAGAGAACTGACAACTACTTGTGTTTTGTCACAGCTGCTTCTTTTACTTATTTTTTAATAAGCAAGAACATTCTCAAGTCCCTTTTATCCTTACTGGCAGTCCTACCTCCACTCCCCTCATAGGGCAAACATGGTACCAGGAATGTACATTACTTTCCCCTTTTAAATAACATCTTTAATTTAAAAGTAACCAATTATTATAAAAGTTTCAAACTACAGACCTAAATAAAGTTTTAAAAAAAGTTCCTGTCTTTACGGCTGCATAGTATTCCATGGTGTACATATACCACAGTTTGTTGATCCATTTGTGGATCGATGGGCACTTGGGCTTCTTCCATGACCTGGCAATTATGAACTGGGCTGCAATAAACATTGTGATACAAATATCTTTGTTGTAATGTGATTTTTGGTTGTCTGGGAATATACCTAATAAAGGAATTGCAGGGTCAAACGGCAGGTCTATTTTTAGTTCTCTAAGTGTTCTCCAGATGTCTTTCCAAAAGGAACGTATTAGTTTACATTCCCACCAGCAGTGTAGGAGTGTTCCCTTTTCTCCACATCCACGCCAGCATCTCTGGTTTTGGGATTTAGTGATATGGGCTAATCTTACTGGAGTTAGGTAGAATATGAACATTTTAACACAATAACTAAGAAAATGACATGAAGGCTATGTTAATCAGTTTGATGAAAGTGTTTCGGATTGTGTGTGAAAACACCACACTGTACCCCAGAAGTGCATTCAACACAGTTACCATTCAATAAAACAAAAAAAAAAAAAAAAGGATTCATTTTTGTGATTAAAAAAGTGGACGACAGCAAAAAAAAAAAAAAAAATTCCTGTCATTTGCAATGCTATTTCTCAGAGGTGACTTCTATAAACAATATAGCATACACCCTGTCAGGACAGTTTTATCCTTGTTAGGACACACACACACACACACACAAAAATATGAACACAGACACAGATGCTCTTGGGTTGGTTTAAAAAAAAATGGGATTATCCTGGGACTCTTAATAAAATGTGGTCATTTTCCATCCATATAAGTACAAAAAGATCTACTTTATTCTTTTTAATACCTGCTAGCATTCATTTATTATTCCATCAATCCTTTACAGATGGATATTCTAATTGTTTCCTATTCTGCCATTATAAGACAATTTGGTATAAATTGTACCTGTATCTCCTCTACAAGCTATCTTCCCTCTGTGAAAGGACTACACTTCTTTTTTTTTTTTTTTTACTTTGCCTCCATCTAATTATCTCCTAGACAGGTACTGCCAGTGAGTGGTCCCATGAAGAGGATTCAGGTGCACACATTCAGCACACCATTCTAATGGCATTGAATACCCATGATAATATGGCGAGGCTTGGAGGCTTGAACTTTCTATTTTTTAATTTTCTCCCACATACCAAGTTATCATTGGTATGTGTTATAACCTCAAGGGCCTGTGGCTGTAGAGAGTGAGACACAGGAAGCAGAAAACTCTCCAGAGTTTTCCTGAGTCCAGTAGCTTTTAGGGAAGAGAGAAAGCAAAAAGCCGCCCTTGTGAGCTTTGTCTGCTTTGTGCAATGCCCTTTAGTCCTTATCTGAGTTTCCTAAAGTCTCTCCAGGCCAGCATTAGTGAAAATCTGAATGCTTTCTTCTCAATACATGTTTTCAATTTTATGTCAATTCTATTATTACAATTAGTAAAGAAAACAGAGAACTAAGAATAGAAGTTAATTAAAACTACATACTACATAAAAATTACGTATTATCTACAACTTGCATTGGAATATATTCAGTGCTTGTACTTCAACACAGAATGTCAAATATTTAAGGAATAATCGAACCACACAATTAAGCCACTTGCGGACCGTGTAAGTACAATGTGCACCAATCTGCCAGGCACAGATTAATAAACACTGTCCTCTCCTCCTGAATTCCCCATTTGTGTTCCTGTTTTGACATATTTTTATGTTCCAGTAACCTACAGGTGTTTCAAGCTGGCATTACTGAATTGGAGAGGAAAAGCCAAGGCAATAAGGAAGATCCCAATTCTGGTGGGATCTGAAAGCTCTGACAAGAAACCCAGTCCTTCCTACTATAAATGTAAACGGTAGATAAATGTTCGTCTTTCTTCCCCTTCCTCTCCTATCTGAGCTCCCCATCTGCTCCACTGACAGAACAGAAGCAGAGCTTTGGTTTTGCGTGACGGCTGAAGCAGAGCGGACCTGTCCAAGTTTTCCTGACAGCTGTTGTCAGTCTGGCTTGAATCTCAGGGTAGATGGAGAGTATCGTTTTAATTCATCAGTGAGGACAAAACAGGAGAAAGAGTCACTTTCTTAGCTTCTTCCCTCTCAACTCCTGCTGCAATAGACACAACAGTGACAAGTCAAGGTCCAGATGGGAAAACTGAACACAGACCCTTCCCAACCCTAATTCTCAGTCTGAATGGCTAGATGTGAGCTCTAAATGGAGTGACCTCAAGTCAGTTACATGGCTGATTTTATTTAGTGTGCTAGATTTATGTCCACATATTTCCTAGATTTGCCTTTATAACCCTTCTTGAGCACACATAACAGAGCTCTATCAAAACAGGAGACAACTGTGGTTATGGTAGAGCTTACTGTTGATAAGTTCTACCACCACCGTACAACACAAAGCCTCTACAATTTTCACATCTTCAAAACAATTTGTAAGGATGTAGAAAAAAATGAAGAACCTTTAATCAAGGTTTATTGTTAGCTTGGAGAAAAACATGTTATGAAAATTATTTTTACATTCCAGTAACCTATGGGCATCTCAAGATAGTGAAGCCCCAGGAAATAAAGAAGGTCACAATTCTGGTGGAAAAGGCTCTGCCAAGGACCTGAGTTCATCCTGCAAATGTCAGCCCCTCATTTGTTTATTACAATGTCCTCGTGAAATTTTTGTGAGAAATGCCTGTGACTTTTTTGTCCTAAATTTATATAACAAAATTCAAAGTGAGTATGTAAATTTCATATATATTCATTTGTTCAAAAATAGTTAAAGCATTTTCTAAATTAAAACAATAACATTTTCTATAATTACTGACTAAATTCAAGTCACTTGGCACCTATTCGTAAGAAAATCAACAAGTGTGTGGGCAATGCTGTGTGGATACTACGTCACAGAACTATTTTCACTCCTAAGTCAGTATTTCACAATTTTGTTTTAACACCCTGTGTATTACTGAGTATATGGTAGATGCATATGATTAAGCCACAGAAACAGCAATCTCCTAAAGGTTTCTGTTTAGTTAATAAGTAATGAGAATTTTTAAAATAATAATATTCTATAAAATACCCTTGACTTCTAAAACTGCCGATGTGCTGTGTTCTTCATGGAAGGAATGCTTTGGTACTTTACCAGTCGGCTACTCTCATTGGCTGCCTGGTCACCTAGGTACACCATTTCTAGACAGTTAACTTTAGATTCACACTTGCTTTCAAGATCTCACTAACACAACTATACTCTACTTAGTGAACCTCTCTGTGGAAATAGAACTCTTTTAAAACCCTAGTCTAAGAGAACATGGGTCACAGTAAAGTTAATTATCTTCCTATTCAACTAAGATGTGAAACATCAAGAAATACAAGTTTCACTCTAAGCTGATGATGACGGGACGCCCCATCCACCTGCAGGACGTGGTACAGAGATGTGGGATGGACCATGCATGACGGGCTTCACACAATGGCACTCCCCACTGTTCAGTTTTAGACTCTCGGCATCTTATGGAAGAAAACACATTCAACTTTAAATACAAATTTTCTAAAACATCATAGGCAAATATGGACAACTTAGGAGATTACCAATCTGTGCCAATATCATCTCTTTAAGGTCGCATGCACGAACAAATCTTTAGAAAAGAAAGATTTACTTATAACAAGAAAAAAACTCTAATTCAAACAATTATCTAAAATATTTTTTCCACTTATTCTTAGCAAAACATTGTATACCACTAGCAAAAATTTGCCATGAACTTTTCATGTCTTATGATTAGAAAACATCAACTATGTTGAATACTCACTTGGATCTTCGTATACACCATGACTCTTCCAGAATGTAATAATTCACTTTTAACTTTATCAATTCTTGCTTCACTTCTTCAGCTGCTTTTCGACTATACATTGAGTATACTATTTTTGTTCTGGCTCTTTAAAGAAAAATAATCAGGCAGAAAAATTTTAAGATTAAAAGGATGCAATCAACATACTTAGAAGAAAGCACTCAATAGGACAAAGGAAGACTACAGGAAGACTCAAGTCTAGAGAAAACTCCTCACAGCAGTTCCTCTGCAGGGGATTTGTGAGGTCAAAAGAAGGAAGAAGTAGCACAGGAGCCCTGGGAGAAGAGGCAGAGGGTCAACGTGTCCGTACATCTCCAAACTTAGTCTCATTTTTCTTTGTTCACTTGTTTTTATTTTTAAATTCTTCAATTCTCTGCCACACATAACAAGGATGAACCACCATGACATGAACTCAATGAAGGATGACGGTGAAACTACGACCATCCCAGTTCTGACAACAATTCACATAAAATGCTTCTCCCTTTTATTTCTAGATTTAAGAAAAACTAAAAATTCAACAAAATTGCTCTAGAAATTAGCTAGCTAAAATTGATTTTTTAATGAAAAACTTCTTGTTTATAAAATGTATAAAGTTCTACTGTTATGCAAAAGAATATACCAATATACTAATAGGATTCACCTAATCACTCAGGAACTGAATAGATTTACCTACCCTAGAAACTGCATGAAAATGAAATCTACTTCTTTTTCTAAGAGAACACAAAGCTCTAAACTGTGAAAAAATAGTAAGCCTCAAAAAAAAAAAAAAAAAAAAAGAAGAAAACCCAAATCAAAAACCACCCAAGATCAGTTTGTCGGTGAAAACCAGAATAAAATCCTCATGAATGGTATTCTATTTCAGATGATTCCTCAGAATTTAAGAAAAATCACCTATACAAAAACCGTTAAACATGACAAACTAATGAATCTTCAGAGGAACCCAGGATGAGCCCTGTCAATCTGTAGGAAACTGATCGAGTATGATCACTTTTGCCTGCCTGGTAGAGAAGATAACCCTTAAGAGTCTTAAGTTTTGCTGCTCAGTGGAGTCGTGACAGTTTTGTTTCTAGCGTGGCAGTCTCATCTCAGCTTTCCTCTCTCTCTCTTGCCTTTATAAATCCCAGGGCATCTTAACATTTTTGAGACACTACTTGTTACCCTTCTGATTTCCTTACTCGCTCTTGTGACATGTGATATTGTGTACTGACCTCAGGCCAGCATCTTCATAATGCGGGTGATTCACTATGGGCCGAAGGGCAGAGAGCTTAACACTTGCCATGGTGGGCATGGCACCCGCAAACACTGCATCTGGAAAGAACAAAGAGTAAGTCTTAAGAAGACATTTGGTGAGTGTGAGAAGGGGCCTCCTCCTCAGTTAAACTCAATTATTTCACAGGCAACAGACAGAGCAGGGACTCAATGAGGCCCATGACTTCAAGATTCAAGGGCAGAACCAGAATGAAATGGGATGGATGGCTGATGAAGTGGGCAGTCAGTGACTCCCATCTCCTCATTGAGGACTTCTTTCTTCTTCTTTTTCTTTTGTTAATATCTTAGAAATCTGTCCTGATTCTAAGAAAGAACTATCAAATTGACTAGAAAAGCTTTATATACAGTAGCAAGGAATTCTGGAAGATGATTTACTACTCAATCATCTGATACTCAGATGACAACAAAGTCACTCTTATAAATATCACATTCCACAAGTTCATTGTAAGAAGAAGCACAATAAAAACTATTTTTAAATGTGGGGTTTATAACATTGGATAAATTTTGAAAAAATTAACCTTTATCAAAAATAGAAAAATTTAGTAAGAAAATATGTATAACAATTACCCTGTAAACCCTTTAAGCAGAATTGATATATTTTATTTTATTTTTATATTCTAGAGATAGTGTTGCTGAGAAAGAATAAGACCACTGGCAGTAACCTGGGTTTTACAGTGGTACATGTATGCAAAATTGTGGGAAAAATGCTAGCTAAATAACACCTTTTTTTTTTTTTTTTTACCTGGTTTAGTACTGTATTTGATCCATTCTATAAGTTCTTCCTGAGGCAAATTGCTGAACTCCCCCACAATATTCCACTGGGTTTGTAGATTTGCTGAACCTTGTATTGACATTGCTGCTAATACAGCAAAGACAACAGCACCAGGATGCACTTTGCAGAAGAGCCATCCGAACAGCTGAAACCAAAGTCAGAACATACCGATGACCGTTAGCACAAAGCAGTATGTGCTGAACACACAATCAGGTTTTTCCCACAGAAGAATGTGGTCTCTGCTAGCACCCTGAGTAAAGGATTAATTATCCAAAGGAAAAGTTCTAAAAATAATGATCCTTGGGATGAAAAGAATTCCACCATCAGCCTCGTATAGATAGGTAGAATGTGACTTTAAAAAGCTCCCTTTTCAGCCTGCTTTCTCTGCTCCCAGATTTGAGTAAAGCCAGTCCTAAACAATTGACCAAGTACAGAATGAAAATGTGAGGTCTCTTAGGTTATTAAGAAGTTCAGAACAGCAACAGTACACATTAAACAAACTGCAGAGTCCTTTTGTGTAGGGGGCCCTGTGTGACAGCAGAGGGCCCACACCTTGGAGCCAGCCCCTGGGTAAGGCTTTCCATCAACAACCCCACTGGGGAATGAGATTTAAGACAAAGGATGGCAACAGTGTCCTTTCCTCTCCCCATCTGGGGGATTAAGAGCAGTAGAAAGTAGAGCCTAACACAGTACCAACATTCTGACTGGAAACCTTCAGGCTGGCTATTTTCTTCCATACCCAAGCAGTCCACACTGACTAATAACTCTTTATTCCTCTCTGCTGTTCTCTCTTTCATATTATTTCTATAAATGTCTGCAGACCAGATTCAAGCTTCTTGAGGGCACACATACATTTTGGGTTTTTAATTTTTCTGTCCTTTAATCTACCCCATCCCCAGAGTTCAGAGCAGATGCTCGGTAATGACTAAGGTACGGCTGTGGCACTGTGGCTGGATGACTCCTGAAAAGGTGACACAAAGGAACATACAACTGTGAATACAGAGCGAGGAGGCAGTGTTCCAGGAAAAACAAGCAGCCAACAACCAAGAAAGTTTAAGCTAAGTTTTAAAAAGCAAAAGTAAGGGATGTACACAGAAAGGTATACCAAATAAATGAAAAAAATTAAGCTTGATAGTAAGAACAAACATACAATTTCCAAGTACTTATAACTTGAAATCAATTGTTAGAATTTTTGTGATATGAATGTCAAAACAACAGTATTAAGCTTTTTTTTTTTTTGAGACAGAGTCTCACTTTGCCACCTTTGGTAGAATGCTGTGACATCAAAGCTCATAGCAACGTCAAACTCTTGGGCTTAAGGGAGGATCCTCTTGCCTCAGTTTTTCATTTTTAGTACAGACAAGGTCTCACTCTTCTTACTCAGGCTGGTCTCGAAATTGTGAGCTCAAGCGATCCGCCAGAGTGCTAGGATTATAGGTGTGAGCCACAGTGCCTGGCCTACCCTGTCCTTTCTACCAATACCTGTGCTAATCATTCATAAAATCAGCTGCACTAATTCACTCCTTGTTGTACACCAGGTACATTTAGAAGTATAGACAATGATCAGCTTTGGTCCTTACTCTTTAGGAAATATAAGCACAAAATCAGCAAGAACGTCAACTATAATGGCTTTAAAAATGTTGGATAAACAAAAACAAAACAAAATAAAACAAAGACTTTGGGTAATTCAATATTATTTTAGGACCACTCAGTGACAAAGGCCAGAGTAAAATTATTACAGCAGATGTAACTCCAATCTAACAACCATGTTACCTGTCTTGAGCAGATCAAGGAAGCCATAACACACATGTGTGGTGTCAAGAAGAGTTTTAGTCTCATAATTAAAATACCGAGGGCTGTGTATGCTAACAGTTGCAGTGCATGATAAACCAGCTGAAAGAAAAAAGAAAACATTTTTACTTCTACTATTTGTGAAGTTTAAGAATATACTGTTAGGCGGTGACTATACAGAAAGGGGTACTTTTTTCTCAGTAATAAAAATTTAATGCTACTTTGATTTTTGAAATTTCTAAAGCAGTTCTTAAAATTCATTTCTGAATTGCTCCATTTTAATAGAAGGCTAAAATTATGAAGGCAGTAAGTGTTTTTATAATTCTCGGAGCCAAGCCTGTGGTTAATAAAAGCCCGCATGTCCAAATGTACCTTGGTGCAACCACCAGACCAAGGCAGGAAAGTGGTACAAGAAATGGCTACTGCCTCAAGATCCTAGAGCTCCACCTTGGAACTGCCCTTAAAACCAGGCTGGGTCACTAGGAGATGGAAGCAGCAACTGGTCACATCTCTGAAGCCTCAGTGCAAGGTGAGCACCCCTAAATGGGCTCCAGAGATCAGCTGCTGCTACCGTAAGGATCATCATCAGCAAACCAAATGACTTCCCTAGTTAACTGTTTAACACAGGAATGGTCAGTGAATCTGCATGCAGCATTCTCATAAACACATGCTGGCTGTTTGGAAGATTGTTAATGGCAATTGCCAATAAACTTAAGAAACTGGAACCACAAAGAAAAGTCCAAATATATAAGATAACTGAAATTTTAGTAATGGTGTCTTTACCTCTCCATGATCAAACTGGTGTTTTCTGAAAAGAGAAAAAAATATTGCTATTAAATTATTATTTGCATTTTTGTCTTACAAAGGCCAGTTTTACGACTTCTATAATATTCCCTCTGTGTGCATACATGTAAATCCAAATAACTGAAAGTTATACACAAAAACTGTTGCTAAAATCATTTAAGAGAGTTTATTAAAAATGACAACGTTGCATTACGTCCTAAGATTTGACTACATGGGTATTTTATTAGTACAACAAGAGCTCCGTGTGGTGCACCAAACCTCTCCCTGGTGGTAAGCCACCAGAGCACCCTGAAGCCTTCACAGTCCCCACATGAGCGCCCCAGCCCTGTGGTCCCTCAGTGTTCCTGTAAACTGCTGCTGCTAAAGGGACAATTTAGGGTTGAGGAGGACACACAAGAGATTTTTTTCTAGCACCAGCTTGGAACATACAGACACACACAAATTTCCATCTTTTGCTTTGCTTGACAGCTCTAACTTGTGTAAAAGGACACACTCCTGGAGGCTGACACGTCTATCCCTGCCCGGACCAGGAACCATCACTGTCATTGCCACAGGGAGGGCAATCCTGCACGTGGGAAGCATCCTGCGAGGGTCTCCCTTTGTAATTAAATTCTCTGCACCTTGCCCTGCCACAAGGTCTTCCTAAGCCAGCACCACTTCTTATCCCTTAAACTCACCTTCAGCCATGTTCCCTCTTGATGGCTGTGCTCTGGTCACCCCAGACCATTATTTCTTAAAACATCAGAAAGCCTGTGACTCTCACACACTCAGTGCCTGTCCTGGAACCACTCATACCCCACCTCTTTATTTTATCTTCTCACGGGAAGCAAAATTCTTATTGTGCTTTAGCTGATCATCATCTCTCTCTCCCTTAAAAAGAGCTCTTCAGCAGTCCCTAGAGAGAGGGCAGTAACAAAATGGAAAAACATTCTTTCCCTCACAGAACTCACATTTAAGTCAAAGGAGACACAAAAAGCAAATGAATGTTTTTCTCATGGTGATGAATGCAGACACAATAGGAAACAGGGTGAAAGCCTCAGGGAGAGGCAGGGTGCCCAGCAAGGCAAGCGTTAATCTTTCTGGGTGCTTGCCGACTGGGTGACATCTGAGTCCTGGGGAGCTGAGAGTGTGAGCCCTGGGATCCTGTAGGGAAGAGCATTTCAGGTAGAGGGAAGAGAGGATGCAAAAGCTCTATGGTAAGGAGGCTCTAGCCGGCTACACAAAGATGGTGTGATTAACAAAGAGAAAGTGAGGGAGCGGGTGATGGAGGAGAGACCAGAGGGGCGCTGGACACCATGATGGGGACTCTGCTTTACGCTGAATGATTTGGGAAATGACTGGACAGCAGTGGCAAGATCTAACTTCCGTTTTAAAGGCTCATCTTGCTGCTGTGTAGAGCAGAGCTGGGGCAGCGAGGGCAGAAGTAGAGAGTCAGTGGGGAGGTAGGGAGGCAGTAACACAGCGGGTGGCAGTAACATGGACCCGGGTGGTGGTGATCAAGGTAGTCACAGACTGGATGCAATTCTGCAGGTGACGATGATGGGGTTTACAGATGGATGGGATATGGCATGTGAGATAAAGAGCAGAAGTAAAACTGATGCCAGGATTTTTGAACTAAGCCACTAAGAGAGCAGAGGTCCATGTGAGACAGTGAGACAGGGAGACAGGGAAGTTCTCTAGACGCATTCTGGCAAGGAGAGTGGTCAGAGGTTCAGTAGTATGTTCAAAACCTGAGATTCTCACCAGGCACCCAGGCAGAGATGACAAATAGTTATCAAATAGTTATATGCATAAATCTGCATTTAAAGGAAAAGTGTGGGTTAGAGATAGAAATGTGTGAGTTGACAAACACACGTTCTGGCTTAAGTACTGATATGTTCCCAAGACCTAGAGCAACGTGCGGCATATTTGATGTCTTCTTCTGAATGAATGAACAAATGTATCAATACATCCCTAAGTGAGGTACCAATAACCCCTACATAATCTGATTTGAGAAATACTGGCAAACTCAGTAAACATATGGGGTAAGTGAAGGAGATGAGATGGTTCTTTCTTTATTCTTCTTCATGCCAAGTAAAAACTATTACTATTTACTGGGCACATATAACGTTAATATGCTTAGTACATCACACTAACTCTGATTTTATAACCATTTATTATCGCAATTTACAGCAATGAAAGGGAGTGTCAGAGCCACTGAGTGGCAGCCAGGACAACATGTGGACTGATTTCAGAGGCAACCCACTCTTCCCTGCGCCATGCTGCCTCTTGTCTACTTTACTACCAGTTCCTGAGTAAAGGGGTTTCAGGGAACATACTACCTTCCACATTGAAGGGAATAATGGGAAAAGCTAAGAAGGGGAATGACAACAATAAAAAACATCAAACGTTGAGTGTACAGCACACAAGTGTAAAATACACTGTAAATTTTAATTTAATAAATAGATAGGTAACAAAATTCTCAATAGCATATTTACCTTATATGTGTCTGTTGCTTAGCTAAGACACCCCATATATCACTAATAATCTGTAAATAGATTTTAAAACACATTAGAAAAGCTGTCTGGAGAAAAAAATTTTAACAATATATCTAAACATTAAAACTTCTAATTAAAAACATGAGAAGTATGGAGACAAGAGTTAAGTTTGAAAATAATAATTATAATATAATCTTGTTTGTATAGTATTTGATCATAACTAATACTCAACAACCCTGCTAGCTAGATTATATTATCTTCATTTTGTAAATGAACAATGGGCTCAGATGGGATAATTAAATGATCTCCCCAAAGGTGGACAACTAAGAGCACTGCCGGATCCGGAAACCAGAATTTCTGGTTTCAAGTTCATCTTTATTTAGTACTGTTTCCACCATGCCAAGACAGTTGGTATGACCTCTACTTAATTATACACACACAAAACTGGAGAGCTGTCTCAAAGACTGATAACCACAGTGAAAAGCATTTGTAACACACTCACTGGTGCTTTCATAGTCAGCAGTAATGAGGTCATCTCATCTGAAATCCTAGCCCTGGTATGGATACTCTACTATACTGCTATCAGGTTTTAATGCAGCCCCTAGAAGAACCACTTGGCCACTGTTTAAATCTATAATGCTTTCCTAATCAATCCAAATTAATTCTGGTCAAAAGTCCTACCTCCTAGAATTGCCCACAATGCTAAGAAGCCAGGATAGGTGTGACCTTATTTTCAAGTGGCATGCTTGTAAATAATTGCAAATAATCATGCTCTTTCATTTGAATCTTTTCCTTTTGAATCAAACAGCCCAGCTAATTGTTTTTATTATCTCTTGTCACCCACGTTGCTGTCTTATGAATACATTCTGGGTGGCCAATGTCTAGTATTGTTTAAGTACCTACTAGATACAAACCCATATAAAGAATATAAAAGTGCAAAGCAAGCACAGAGCCTGGCACGGGTGGGAACTGATGATTAACTGATCTGAGTTGAAAAGTGCTGATCCATCCAGTGCACAGAAGGAAGTAAATCTCAATGAAAATCAAGCTGGGAGAAGGGAGCAGAGGGAGTGGGTAAATTCGCCCCTACCGGGACGGTGCACACTGGGTGGGGACCATGCTTATAACCTTGACTCAGTTTGTGCAAAAAACAAAGTATGTAAACAAAACACCTGTACCCCTTAATATTCTGAAATAAAAGATAAAACAACCAAAAAAGCACTGTGAGAGTACAAAGCCAAATACCCCAGAGGCCCAGTGAAGGGAAGGTGCAGAGACTAGTCTTCACTCTTCCCTTGCAGCTTAACAGTCAAGACATAAGGGTGCAAGAACATCTCTCATCTACCCACTCCACATGTGTCAAAATGGGGATTACTGCAGTGTCTCTATATCCCAAAGGGCTGTTGAGTACCAGTGGAAATACTCATGTGAAAACGTTTTGGAAAGTAACAAAGCACAGTGCACATATAGGGTGAAGAGTTCTTACAGTATAGAAAATTCTACAAATATGTACATATATGACATTGTATTAACACACAAATCACTAGCTACAGATCAAAAAACTTTTAAGGTCTTCCACCTCTTTTTTGAACACAGATTAACCTCAATTCATTCTCAAGACAGGTGTAGTTACAGAGTTTACAAATTCTTAAAAGGAGAGAAAATACGGCAGCTGTTCCTCTTCAATGAAGACTGGCGCTTCTCTGGCTTGATTTACATCTAGGTTTAAATTTCACTATTAAAGACACATTGGGGGCCTAAATGTTTTATTTAGTTAATACATTATTAACACTCTCTTTTTCTTTGTGATTAATAATAAATATGATCCAGGAGTTATTAAACACTGTACTAATCACTTAGAAAAAAATATATTATTATTGTAGAGAAGTATTATCTAAAAGTTTATAGTGAGTCAGTAATAACTTACAGAGGCAAAACCAAGTTGTATCTAGGTCAGTATGGTCTCCAATTACGTCTGATACATGACTACAGAGCCTGAGCTATCCTTTTCTTATGTCTATTTCATGCTAGCTGACAGAAGAATATTTTTAAACCTGTAAATGTCTATGAAAGTTTATCACTAAGAAAATACAGAAAAACACTATCAGATTAACATGTGGCCAAGTATATATAACTGCCATGTAAAAATAAGAAAATATTTAAAAAATAAGTGAGGGTTATACCTTTCTAACAATTGCGATGAACACTACCAGAACAACTGGAAGCAACAATGTCTTTGTATATCTCACCGGAGTCTGAAATTTAAAAAGAAATTTGTTACAGATAAATGTTATTATAACCTAACAAAATTGCACTTTAAATAATAAAACAGATGAATTCCTGAAAGTAGAAGAAATACGAACATTTACCCACGAAAGGTTCGATCTACTGTGATTCCTATCATAAAAATGAAGGTCCATTTCCACAGAAACATACTTCCCCAAAGTGTCGAGTTGAAAAACTCTAAAAATAAAGTTCCTCGACACTTGTTAAGTGTGAAATGAGATTACTATTCACTTTTTGCATTCTACTTGTCTAATTAGAGAGCCCAACTTAATACTCATTTGAGGGAAGTTGAGTTCCTTTAAATGAAATAAGCTCCTCCTATACATGTTGTGGGGAATAAAAATCTAACCCGTGATACACAGACACACACTGTCTCTCATTCACTCGCACACAAAATAACCAATGCTTACGACTGAAACAAAAAGACATTTTTACATCTTCTTTAGTAACAGATAACCCAGACCAACATTTTCAATAGGTAAGTCACACACATTGCAATCCTGCGCACCTCTCAATTATCCCTCCACTCAAAAACCATTGTTAAAATTTTGCTCTTACACCTTCCGTATGTTAATTACGGGGCAGTAAGAACATACTTTCTATTCACTCCATTACACCTTGAGACTCTTTCCACGCAGTATGCTTCACATTACACAGTGCCAAGTTACATCTTCCCCTTTCCTCGCTATCGGCGCACCATGAAAGGGATGCACTCGCCGAACTGGCACCGTATTCTGTCTCTAAAGCACAGTCCCTGTGACTTCCAATACTTCTGAAGGCGGGCAACGGCATGCCAGGAAAAGCTTGGCTGTTTTTTTCAAACTGACTGAAGTCACACTATGCCTCAATATATAATTTCCTTCATTACATAACTGATGGTTAATACTCTGAGGCAGTAATAGCATGTATAATGTCCTCAATAATGTTAAAGAACTTCCGCCAAACCTTAATTCTCTTCTAATGTTTGAAGGAGTCTTGACCTCCTATGAACATGCATTTTAATGTCTCACAAGATACTCTTCTTTTGTTTCCCTCAGTAGGTTCAACATTATGATTCGAATGCTTTTTATCAGCCATTATGTGTCATGACCATTTTCTAGAACACAATAAACGAAGACCGATAGGCCAATGTCATCAACAATACACCTGCAGAATACACTTGACTCAGAATGCCTGGGTGGTAAGAGTTTAGCTCTGTGGTGCACTGGTATCAGGGTGCTGAGTGAACACAGTGGGAGCACAGGTGTAAATTAATTATCAAGAGTATTGTTGACCAGTTTAATATATACACATATGTACCTTTTAAGGAAAGGAAAATGTGGCATAGACAAGATATAATAAATAAGTATCACAAGTACACAGGCCCACACACATTTGTTGAACCAAACCAGCTCAAAAATATTATTTTATTTAAAATACCAAAGTATTTTCCTATGTATTATCTCATTCTGTCTTGACAGTATCTATTTGTAGCATACTACTAGAAGCTATTACTAGTAAACTACAACACAAAGAATGAGAGTTACTTGTTCAAGAACATCAAGTAAGATTGCAAGCTTCTGTCTCACAATCCACTCAACTACTTTCTGGTTTCCTTCTAAATGTCTGAGTGCAGTTTTGGAAAGAAATACGTTGTTGGGATGAAAAACTTGCACTCAATGATATTTCAAAGCAATGAGATGATTCAAACAAGCACAAAATAAGTGGAGATGTAAAAGCTTGAGAGCCTGACTGAATTAATGCTGCGTCTGAAAAGAGGCAGGTTAAATGCCTCTGTGTTTACTCACCCAGAAAACGATTTCTAGTCTGAACGCATACTCCCGAATTATAAGAATGAGAAAAAGCCATATATTTCAGGGAGCTGTACTAATGTAAATAGGAAAATCCTCCTTTAAGCTACCAGATTTTCCTTTTCCTTCAAACCGAGATAACTGTACATAAAAAGTCTAAAATAACAGGAGCACTGATTATAAAAAAAATGAATAGTTTGAAATCTAAGAAAAGAAAACAGGAATCACATCTTACCTCCTTTTCCATAAAGTCAAACTCTGCTGCACAGGTGTATAGTAAAGTATCAAAATCCTTATAACTGAAGAATTTTGATGTTAGTAAGTTGCCAATATGAGCCTAGTAAGAAACAAAGTGAGGTACCATTAAGCCATATATTGTAATAATGCATTTTAATCTTAATAGTATCTAAAAATAGTTTTCACTACACCATAGAGTGCTCTGTGCCCACATCAGGCTTGATTTTATTAAAGAAGAAAGTGCTATATTCTCCAACTTCACAGTTCTTCCTTCTTTTGCTGAGTAAGTGACAGCTCCAGCAACACCCTACCTTGCACACCCATCAATACACCAAGGGCTTTTACCCTTGGGTTTTGCCTGCTCATTATGCTAAGCCTGGGAAGAAACAGGCTACACCACATCTTCTTTGCTGGAGCCTACCAGGAGTTGTGGGCTTGGGAACACATATAGATTTCTGTCAAACATAGAGGGACAAAGAACTACGGAATAAAAACAGAAATATTAATTCCATATTCTGGAAAGGGGACTGAAAAGACTACTTCAATAAACTAGAAACAGGCAAGCCTTGGAATAAAAGGTATCTTATTGAATTATAATCAACTCTTGTGTAATTCTTTACAAGCTATCAGGCACTCTCATATTACCCCATATACCTCCGACAGAAAGCCGTACAAGGAAGGTGGAATTATTTTAGTGAGAAAACTAAGGCTCAAAGCCATAAAACATATGCCCAACTTTCAAGTTCATTATTATCTGAAGAGTCAAAGATGAGAGAAGTTACATTTAAGAGAAATCATAACTGAAGTTCTGCATGAGACACAGTATCTATAAGAAGTAGAAAGATGAGGGTAAAATTAGAAACTAAAGGGTGGTGGGAATGGGATGAAGCATTTCAAAATACTCTTGTCTGGCTGGGGGAAGAAATGTATGCTGTGAAGTTTAAGAAATCAGTAGGGAGAATATATAGCACCTAAAATAGCATAAGAAAACACATCCCAAATAAAGTGATAGGAAATAATTATATTTCTCATTAATTATAATGATAATTGCTATATGTGTAAAGAGCCTAAATTCACTAATTAAAGGACAGATGCTCAAATTAGATTTAAGGAGAAAAATGCAATTTATGTTATTCCCAAAAGACATACTTAAAAGTACACAGAAAAGTTGAAACGGGAAGAATAGAAGATATTGCAGATAAAAGAAAAAGAAAATAATCTAAATTAGCAATTGTGATATTTCACAAAACTGAATTCAAGCTCACTCCAGATAAACCTAAGAACATCCTAAAGAAATTGAAATTTTGGTAAAGAAAATTTAGTAAAGAAATTTTTGATAACCTAAAAGAAAACTTCACGCCCTGAGGGCTTCATTTTTAATTTTACCAAACATTTAAGGAAGAAATAATACCAATTCTATACAAATTCTCTCTGAAAACAGAAGATAGAATGTTTCCCATGATTTTATGAGGCTACGTTATCCTGAAACAAAAACCAGACAAAATCATTACCAAAAAAGAGGCAAAAATTCTTTAAAACAATAGGTTATTATATATAACTATATATAATAATAATAAAATAATAAAACTCAGCAATATACAGAAAGAGTAGGTATATGTCCTGGGCCAACACTCACCACCAAATAATGTGGAGACTTCCAGATATGGCGGAGTGAAGAAGGTAGCAACTTCTCTGCCCCAAATTTATGATTGGCCAAAATTGTTAAAAACAATTGTATTAGGCTATAGAAATTGACCAAAGTGAAACAACGAATTGAGATGAATTTATTCATTAAAAATTGATGAAATGGGCAGCGTCCGAGGCTCAGTGAGTAGGGCACTGGCCCCATATACCGAGGGTGGCAGGTTCAAACCCAGCCCTGGCCAAACTGCAACCAAAAAATAGCTGGGCATTGTGGCAGGCGCCTGTAGTCCCAGCTACTTTACTTGGGAGGCTGAGGTAATCAGCCATTGCTTAAGCCCAGGAGTTGGGAGGTTGCTGCGAGCCGTGTGGCACCAAGGCACTCTACCAAGGGCGATAAAGTGAAATGTCTCTACCAAAAAAAAAAAAAAAAAAACCAACTGATGAACCCTAGGTAAAAACAGATTCTATGGCATTCTTGCCTTGGTTGCTCCCAACCACCTGCATCACCACCTTCTCCAGTTTGGTCATTGAAATAGTTCTACCAGGCAGAGCCTGGTTATGAAAAGCAGAACCTTTGCTCCTAGAAGAGGCTGACCTGATTTGACATAGAGAGCAAATAACTCAGAGTATTATCATTAAAAGAAGCAAACTCAGCAGGAAGTGAAGGGTGAAAACTCAGCTCTGCCAGCCTAAGGTTGCAATCCTGGTGAAGTGAACAGAAAATTGGCAGACTAGCCAGAAATTTTACAGAGAAATTCTAGAAATAAGACAGTATCAAGGAGATAGAGAAGCTCTCACATCCCTGGAGGGCTGGTAAGCTGTACTCATGTATACAGGAGATCCAAGAGAACCCAAGCTCTCCACAAACCCATGGCCGACTGGGAGGTGACATACAAATCCAGAAGAAACCTGAGAAGGCATGGCAGGTAGGGAATGATGGGGGCAAACCTGATGTTCAGAAAAGTGTTAACAGCTACACTATGACCCTGCCATATATACAAGGTCAGACTACTATGTTCACGAACTCATCCTAGAAAAGTGGGATATATTTCATTGCTGAATATCACTATGGTCACCTTTGAAGTACTCCCGTTGGAAAACTATGCCCTGATGCAAGTGCCTAGTCCACCCTGCAGAGCAATTTTGGAACTCTTTCCTGGAATGGCCATTAAAGCTGTCTTCATTATGAGACTGGACAATTAAGCTCATGAACTCATCCTATAAAAGATGTTACATACCTCATTCCTGAATATCACTATGGTCACCTTCCAAGTACTCCCCTTAGCCATCTGGTAACCGTAGTGATATTCAGCAATGAGGCATGTACACTTATTTCAGGCCAAAATTTGCAAACTTAATTGTCAGATCTTTTATGACAACAGCTCTGATGGTCATTTATAAAATAGAGAAATATTTACAAAAATATTTCTCACATTATTACATAAATATAAAAATATTAGAAACATATAATATGAATTTATTAATTTTTCGTATTTATGGCAACCATTGGGACACGCTGTATTAGGCCTGAATGCTACCTACCCTTTGAAAAACTAGCTGGCAAGGCTGGCCCTTGGCTGGCATCAGGGAAAATGATTGGAAAGTAAATGCACGGAAAGAGATGTACCATGCAAAGAGTAACCACAGTGCTGGTGTAGCTAACTCTATTAGCATGAGACAAAATAAATTTTCAGATAAGAAATATCACAAGAGATGAGGAGGGAAAAACTCGATAATGATAAAAGGGTCAATTCATCAGGAAAATGTAACAATAATGAATGTACATTCACCTAATATCAGAGCTCTCAAAATACATGAAGCAAAAACTCACAAAACTTAAAAGAGAAATAGATAACCGAGCAATTACAGATTTTAATCTTGCTCTCAATAACTGATAAAGCAAACAATAGAAATTCAACAAGGATATATAAAAAATGAAAAACATTATGAACAAACTTGATTTGATATTTATGGACCATACAACTCAGTAACCACTGAATACTTTTTAAAAACATACAGAGAATAGAATACTCTCCAGGAAAGGTAATATGCTAGGCCATACAAGTCCTCAATATATTTTAAAATTGTGAAAGATATTCTCCAAACACAACAATCAAATTTGAAATAAAAACAAAAATCTGAGAAATACTCAAATATTAAAAAATTAAATACCATACATTAAATAACCTGAGTCAAAAAAAATCTCGCCGGAGGAGTTTGGAAATTACTTTGCACTAAACAAAAATGGAACAATGACAAAACCTGATGATATGCATAAAAGGTAGTATTGAAATATAGCTTCCAATATCTGTATTATTAGAAAGATCTCAAAATAAGATTTCACCTCAAGAACTAAAAAAAGAAAAGAGCAAATTAAGCCTCAAGGAAACAGAAGAAAAAATAATAATAAAGAACAGAGTGAAAATCAATGAAATATGAGAGAAAAAAATAATACAGAAAAACAACAAAACCAAAAGGTGGTCAGTATAAAGATCAAAGAAATTGGTATCTTAAGCAAGACAGCCCATGGGAAGAAAACAAGAGACAGAAGACACAAGTTATAAAACTCATGGAATGAAAAAGAAAATAATGCTAATATTCTAAGGGAAATCTAAAGAAGAATAAAGTACTAGTTTTATTGTTTTGTGCCAACAAATTAGACAATATAGATGAAATGAACAAATTCCTAGAAAACACAAATTGCCAAATCTGAATAAAGACCTAACAAAGATGCTGAGCTAATAATTAAAAATATTTACATGAAGAAAAGTGTAGGCCCACATGTCATCAATTAATATAATAAACCATATTAACAGACTAAAGTAGAAATACTAATCATTTCAATAGATGCAGGAAAGGCATGTGATAAAATTCAACAAAATTCAACATCTATTCGTGACAATAAGCAAAAACCTTAAATAAACAATAATAATGACAACAGCAGCTAATATTTACTGAGAACTGACCCCATGCTACACTGAGCAAGTTCTTTTTTTTTCGGTTGCATTTAGGTAAATTGTCTGAGGTCTCACAGGTAAGATGTGGCAAACAAAACTGGAACCTAAGCCTGTCTAACACCAGAGTCAATAAACTTAAATGTTACACTTTGCTAAAAGAACGATTTGTTTACATAATAGAAGTTTTTCTAAAGGAACCAGAATTCACTGCTGATTGAGTCAAATTTAAGTAAAATGTGCAAAGAAGAAATACTTCAGCCATAGGTTACACCTCATCTGGCTATGCCAAGGGCAGCACTGATTAGCAGAAAGATGGAAAATCAGGAATAATCTAAGAAATAGCTCACACAGATCCCAAAGGACAGGGAAGTGTGTCTAATTTTCTTCACAGAGAAGGGCAGGTGGAAATGCTTAACAGTGGTCAGCCTTGCCATCCTCTTAGACCTAAGTCAAAATTAAGAATTAACGAGCTGATACCCTTGTTCAAAACGTCTATATTCCTAGAAATACTAAAGTTACAACTAAATTATTGCTAATTTAGAAATAGCAGTCTGTATCATTTTTCTCCCTGGGTTAGGCTGTGACAGAAATGACAATTTTACCTAAATCAATACTTACATCATCTGCAATGCCAAAGATTTTAGATGTCAAATATTTGAGTGTGACAGTTCCAAATAACCAAAAACATCCTTGTATAACCTAAAAAAAACAAAAACAAAAACAAAAACAAATTTGATGCATCATATTCCATAGACAAAGAAGAAAAAATATAAATGCTTTAATCATACATGAAATGAGCATGTTTCCAACACAAAATGCCAAAAAATGCACCTCAACTTGAGATAAAGAGTGCTACTCCAAAATCAAGAGGAAATAACTAGCAATAAAAATATATACACATCTTATCAAAATTAATATATTTTATAGGAGATATACACAGCAATTGCAGTTAAATTTCCCCTCTGACTGAGCTGGAACACATTCTTCTTAGTAAAGTATCTCGAGAATGGAGAAGCAAGAATCCAATGTACTCAATTCTAATATGAAGGCAGCAGATGATCTAATACTTACTCTCATAAGAAAAAAAAAA